AGAAGCAACTCCGCAAGAGGGGGTTAAAGACCGTTTTAGAATTGCTATTTCGAGATCCGATTGCTGCACCACCGCCTGTTGTCTTATTTTTGCAATCCAACACGCGTTCTATCGAGCGTGCGTGCGTAATAATTATCATTATTGATATTATTTTCAATTATGCTATTGTTTGTTTATTGTTTATTTTTTATTATTTATGTTTATTGTTTATTTTTTATTATTTATGTTTATTGTTTATTATTTATGATAGCAACCAAATGCAACATTGAAATAGTCAGGTACCGGAAGGAAAAGTATACTAATTTATTCGATACAGTACTAATTAAATACAACGTTATCATTATTCTTCATTTTAATTAAATTTTAATACAGACTTAAGCACTTTGTTTGATTATTGTCTATAAGTTTATACATTTATAATCTCAGGTATAACCCCGTAATATAATGAATATATATATATATAATAAATATGAGATAGTCCTAGAAACCGTTAATATCCAAAAATATATTTAGTACTCAAAAAAAACTCAGTTAGACTCGTACATAAAAAGAGTTGATAATTAATATTTTTATATAATAGCGAATTTCATGACGGTTTAGAAAAAATATCCAAACATAATATTATGTAGAAAAATACAATATTACAAAGTAAAGTTGTATCTATAGACCTCCATACTATATAAAATATACCTTCACCAAGAACTATAATTTTAAAATTATATTTAATCATCCCTAAAACGAATGTTACACAAGAAGAACACATCTGCTCAATGGCTTGTATATAAGTAAAAACGTATTTATTTATAAGACTTAAATAATTATAATAACAAATGCTCAACATATGACATGGCTAGCGTATCTACTTATAGGGGAACTCATAAAAATTAAAAAAAAGCCAAAGAGTAGATGAATTGGTGATGTTCTGTCTGTCTTCTGAAATGTATTTATATACGAGTATAGAGCTAGAATAATACAGGTCTAAAAAGAAACTATATTAAGTTTAAAGCTTAAGATTATAATTCCCATAGGATAGACAGTAAATAAGTAAATTCGGGACTTCATGATTAATAAAAACACTTACACGCTGTTGAAGCAGTAGATAACTTCTTATGAAAAAAATCCATGAAGCTGAATATCTTTCATATCTAGTTCAAACAAGTTTAGAATAATGTATTTGGATCTATAATTCCTAGATTACTAGGAAGAGAAGTTATATAGTGACTAAGATTTTGGTATGTATTATAAAAAGTGTGCATACCTATATTATATTTATGTTACGGGCAAAACTAGTTATGACCAACCTCATTTGGGCAAAACTGCCAAAACCGTATACTGACTTTTATCGTAAGGGTAAAACCGTAGAGTCTTAAATATATTTGCTAATATTAAATACAATTTTATTACGATTATATATGAACACGCGTATCTTGTTAATTTATCGCTGTTATTGTATTTTATTAACTCGTTATATTAAAGGTACACAAAATACACCTTATCTAAATGGGGTTTAAATGTATTATTATTTTTAATTATTTATTTTACCATTATAAGAGTACCTAATATTGGTATATATTTATTTTTATACAAATACTTAATATCATTATATTTTTATTATTATTTAAGTGTATTAAATTATATCTAAAGAATATTTTATGATTATTATTTTTTTGTTTTAATATTAGTGAAGTTATTTAAAACGCTACAGTTTGGCCCAAGTGAGGTTTAAATGTATTAATTAAGTTTATTCAATTATATTTGTACAATAATATTTATTTTATAATTATTTTTATTTAATATTAGCGAACGTATTTAAGACTCTACAGTTTTGCCCTTACGATAAAAGACAATATACGGTTTTAGCAGTTTTGCCCAAATGAGGTTGGTCATAACTAGGTTTGCCCGGTCAAAAGCCTAAATATGACATTTTGCCCAAGGATTATGGGCAGTTCGCGTTTTGCCCGATTTCGACTTTTGGCCGTAACATTTACATACCAAACAACTGTTATTTCCTCTGAAAGCAAGTAGAGAACTACACTACATGTATAATATCTAAGTATCTAACATAAATGTTTAATTTATTAGGTTTTTTTAGTTTAATTATAAAAATCTATCTATAAATCTTTCTTAAAAGTTTGTCTATTTAGTAATAAACCAATTATTAATCCATTTAAGTAAAATGCATCGAAAAAACAAAACTAAAACCTGATATTTATAAATAAGAATGATAAAAGACGTAATATTTATGAAAAATAAACAAAATTAAAATTGCGTAAAAACTGCTAAATAATTTTAAGATAACAGATAAATAGAGAATTTTTTTGTTAAAAATTGAGCCGGATGTTTTGCCAATACGATTTTATTTTTAAAGGACTATAGCAATATACTTCTAGTTTTGTTCATCAATTTTAAAGTATTCTTAAATACTAATTTAAGAAATAGCAATATACAAATTTATACATTCATTGCAAATTAAAGAGTCAACGATTCGGTAACTATATATATATACATATAAATTAAGAATTCTGTACTAAAGATATTTTTTATATTAGATTCATTAAAATTTGTTTCATTATATCATTCAAAAATCATTACAATAGTACCATATAATCATTTTGAATTAAATCTTAGCAAACATTACTCTTGAACATCAAGAAATAATATTTTACTTTACTTTTATTAAATGTTGTTAACTATTCCTACTAAAATTGTTTGATTTAACAGTGGCAAAAATAGATATATGTGAGTTTTAAAATGTAATTGTTTTAAATAATATTTCTTATAAATACAAATATCAAATAAATATAATAGATACCGATTATATACAAATTCCTATCATTATTAGAGTATATTATATTATATTATATTATATTATTATAATTATCATTATTATTACTTATCATGATAAGTAATGAAATCGTATTTTTTGTTTAACGTAGCTGTTTTAACGCAGAGATAAACTATAACTTCAATTTGAATTTATATTTTTGAATACTTCGCTATAATACCAACATAATAATATAACTATCCGTGCATAATAACTTCTTATATAAAATACATTATTTATAATGATTTAGGAAACTAATATTAGGCGAACAAATACATCATATTTCGGCCATCGCATACGTCACCCCTCAGCAGCGTAAATTTAAATATCCAATAAAATAAAACAGTAAGTTACAAACGCGTAACGCAATGAATCTGTTAAAAATAAAAACATGCAGACATAACATTTAGCAGATTAAATAAAAACCGAATAAACTACAAACATTTATGCGCGCATTTTGTTTGCAAATTTTCTATACATATACGATTGTTTGAATAAAGTATAAACGAAAAGTCCAAGTCAGTTATGAAAATGTTATTTTAATACGTATTTAGATAAACAAAAACCTATGAGAGCTAGAATAGAGGAAAACTTTCTGTCCTTCGTTATTAATTCGATCCTGTATGCCTAATCCGTAGGAAAAATGCAGTAAATACGAGCGAACGGTATAATAATATTGATTTGCTTACATTTTTACTGAATTTACAACATAATAGTTAATAGCTACTAGAGTAAATAGCTATACATGAGACTTTGTTGAAGCGTAAATACAGGAAATAATAACATAATGTTAATAAATCGAGCAATTAGTTATACCATATGAGTACACCGTATATACGTTAATATGTAAAAACTATAACTCTCATACATAAAAATAAATAATATACAAATGAATGATTTTATAAATATATATTTATTCGAAGAATTAGTGTTTTTATAATTCTTTTTTAGGTTTAATAGAAGTATGTTAGTGTACATTACACAATTTTTTTTTACAAATTCATAAATTCGGTTTATTGGAATTTTTTAAGGGAAATATATTATACTTAAAGTTGACATTTTTTAATAGAATATATATTTAAAATATCATTACAGATAAATATAAAAAACTGAATTAACGGTTAAAAAATCATAAATACCAAATGCTTAGACTTTAGATTAACACACGTTGTAATATGTTGTAATACAACACACGTTGTAATAGCAGGGTCGCATGGGAGATATACTGTGAAATTTCCATGTACTATTCTACATATAAACTTAAAATATTTATAAATTAATTTCAAAATAAAAAATAGGTAAATAAAATATATACAAACTATTTTGTGTGATTTATCATGTGATACGAGTATACAACCTAGTTGGTTATTTCTTTTCCCAGATATTGAGTGATAACATTAACACATTTTACTATATACGTTAATATTATTTACACAACAACAGTGAAATTACAAATCTAGCTTGAAAAAAACTTGATAAATTATGACTATGTGATTATTAACTTATTTCCCTGCTTTACACGGACCATATTTGGCAGCATAGATGATTGAATAGGTCTAATTTCAAGTTGTTTCAAGGTTTAAAGCCAAAGACGATTCATGCCGTCATACCAACGTCATGTTACCGGGTATATTAAATATATATACGAGTTGTATTCATACTGTGCAATATCCTATAATAATAAACTAATTTTAGCTAATACACGCTATGTTTCGACTATATAAGATGAATGACAATGCATTATCAAATGATCGCAAAATTTGTCAACAATTTTTCGAAAATGTCACTAGTTGCTTTTTTTTATTAACTATAACTTATAAGGGAATTGCAAATGTTCAATAATATATTTATTTAATATATATTTGAAAAATTCCAATGTCGTTACAAATTATAGTTAAATAAAACAAAAAAAATTTAACGTTTTCAAAATGAATAATAGAACAACATTAAAACGTATAAAATTGACATACTATATAGTCTATGGGTGTATTGCAAATTTTTTTTAGTACAATTCATTAGAATGTTAAAGAAAATGTATTGTTTTACAAACAATACTCTAAGAAACGTTATAAAAGCGAAAAAATGAGAGTTTTGTTATTCCTTTGTCATGTGTGTACATACTTATGTGTACAACCGAAGTGTATAAAATTCTAGTAGTATCGTAATATTATTTTACCGGTGTTCCTGTAGATGGCGTTCACCCTCTGCACGTGCCTGGTCATGACCTCGATGCACGTTTCCTCCCTGCCGTACTTCTCGAAAAACAAGTGGTCGGCCTGCAGATACAACATGCACGTGGTCTTCCGGTTGTCCACGAAACCGCCATGGTTCTTCTTGCGGTTCTCGAATGGGTCGTAACTGCCGTCGTCCACCACCAGGTTGCTGCTGGCCTCGTCGCCGGCCACCGCGACCAATATCTTCCGCAGGTCATTGGGGTCGTACCAGTTGGGCTTGGGTAGCGTGGGTGTCTTGCTCGTGGCCGACTGCCGGCTACGGTTCACGATGGTCCCGTTCGGCGACCGGATCAGTATCACGCCCTCCGTGTCGTAAGTCTGGTTCACCAACCGCTCGGCGGCAGAACGGCGAGCCCGGCGTTCGCTTAACGACTCCGACATACAGCCGCCGTCCGTCTTCGGCATGGCCACGTCCGACAATTGATATGCGATACTGTGGTATGGAAGCGGAGACGAGCCATCCGTATACCGGGACGACGGTTCCACGAAATACTCTTCGGATGCTGTGCTGATGGTACCGTCGAACAACCCGTCGGCCGTCACGACTCCACGCACGTTCACCGACTCATCATCTACGGAAACAAAATGTGCATTACGGTTTTTATTTTTTAATTGAATTTTTTAATATTATTATGATAATACGATATCTGTACAATTTATTAGGCACAACAAGCAATGCGTGCGATGTAAAGAGAAAAAAAATAACCAACAAAACAACAGACGTGGAAGAAGTGATTAAAGGAGCCTTTAAGGATCATTTAAGAATCAGTTTTTCACAAATATTAGAAAAAAAGGGCAAAAGATTAATTGGCCTAAAAGAGGCAGAGTCATCAGGTGGCTTGCAGGGTTTACTGAACATAATAATATGGGAAAATTTCCATATTATGTATGTTAGAAAAACTATGGTTTTTTTTTTGGAAAACGTCTAGTGTATTCTCCTGTTATTAGGTCGTAACCGGGTAAATTTTTTATTTGGGTATTTTGAGATCGCGAATTTTACCTTGTTTGGGGTAATAAATTTTTTCCGTTGGCTTTCCGGAAGGGAAGAGTTTAAAAATATGTTAATTTGGATGCTATGTTGAAGGTTTATTATGATAACATGTGGCTGGAAAATATTTGATAGATGTTTCTGAAATAATTCCGCTTTATCAGAATCAGAAATAGCTAGAGTGTTATCAATTTTTTTAAAAGGTAGAGAGGGATTATTGAATTTGAGTAATTGTTTTGTTTTTTCCTAGAGGCTGCTATCGGCCGTAGAAAGTTTTGATAATTTTTGTTAAAGTTCATTAGATTTTAGTTTGGCTAGGGTCTTTTTTAAATAATTAGCTAACTTATTGTACAGTTTAATAAATAACCGACTACAAATGTGCTCAATGTTTATCCGTGAATTTAAACAACTAAAAAAGTGTAACTGCACAAACAATCATACGCTATAAATTTAACAAATATTTAGATGGCTATCTATTTTGCCAATTCGAGATATTACTCTGAACCTTTAATTACATGCGCTGGTGTACTCTGTACACAAATATTTTTACTTATCTTGCTCTATTTAGGTACATAGGTTTTTTTAGTTATTCCCCTTATCTAACCTTTCTTTATCATATATATCAGAGATGGGCAATTCGAAGTTACTAGAGGGCCAAATTTTAGAAAATTAAAATCCAGCGGATCAAAGCATAGGAAAAAAATGTCATTCAAAATATGAATTTTAATTAGCATTTATATATACTGAAATAATAAATTCAACACACATGAGAGTACGACACAAATGATAAGAATAAACCGATATAGTTAAATAGTTCTGTACAAACAGCTATGTTTGAGAGCTATACATATACATACATATGATATTTAAATATTTAACAATGTTTAATACCAGATAACAATTATTATATCTATAAGAGTATAAACGATAAACTTTAAAATTTTCTGATTTAATTTTAAAAATAGCAGGCCAATTATGCCATTTATTTTTCTAATATTTAACATGTAAGGAGCATATAAAATCTGTTGTCAAATGTGAAAGATGTACGATAAGTCAGGATAGCGAGGAAGATAGAAAAATTATTTAACAGTAAGATAGTTTTATTTCTTTCAATTAGGTACCTATCATTTAATTATAACATTTTTTTTTATATATATCATTATAATTAGATTTAAAATAAAATTAAGTAGCTCTTTGTTCGACATTAATTTCTGTGTAAATAAAATTGGCATATAAAATACACCGCACGTTTAATAATTGAAAAAAATTGTGCTTGTAGATTAACACATCGAGATTTAATTTAGTTAATTAAATGTTAATCGACAGTTATGATACATTCATTTGTTGCAATTTCACTAACCTATTCTGTTCATAATCTTTTATACGTAAATCAATTAAATTTTACTTTATGAATTAATAGTTGGTGATTTGTAACCATTTAAATTTAATGTTTATTATGTATTAATATATTAATGAAATTAAGTATTCAAATAATTTTGATATATTTTTTATAGACCTCAAAATCATTTAAATCGTATCTTCTAATAAGAATAAAATAAAAATAAAATAAATCTAAAAAGTATACTATATGACTATGACTATAACTCATATTTGGATTTTTATTTCATATTATACAAGTAAAATTTATAAAAATAATTAATAAACTTACTTAAGCAAAAAAGAGAGTTAAAAACTTTAGAGCAAAAGTAAATAATAATAAAAAAAAAAAATTTAAACATTAAAATATTATAAAATAATACAAAAGAATTGCAACGATAACGTTTTAATATTTCACATAAAATTATCATTGAAAAGATAACTCCTCGATCTGTAAAAACATTTTTTTTTTTTTTTTTTGTAGAAATATGTATTCATTTTAGTTTATCAAAATGACAAAAAAAAATTATGATGGTAAAAATATACAATGAATGATAAATATTTTTACCTAACAAAATTTAAATAATTACAGGTGAAGTTCATTTATAATTACCATTTATCATTCAAATTAAAATTCTTTAAGCATAAACACAGTCTGCAAGAAAGAAATAGTAATTATTCTCGGAAATTCTGAACATTTTGTTAATACATTAGAAAAATATGTAATATAATTTTGGAAATATTCCAAAACCTATAAAACACACATAATTTGACGAGTTTATTGTGAAAAACACTCAATCTGTTTTTAATAATATTGTCGTCATCAAAGATAAAATCGAAAAGACTTTTCAAGTAACTCAATTTATTTTTGCGCATCATAAGCTCTTGTCTACGTAATCAAGTTATTGTTTGGTACATTTTTATACGATCGATGTTGAATTTCATTTTACGGAAGAACAGATATTTGAATACAAAAATTACTTTGTAAATTATTTTTTTAATGCTATTAGGGTACTATTTATTATATTACTTTTTTTTAAATTTTTTTTTTTTTTTGTTGAAACATTGTAGGTTTACAATTTATTTCAAAATTTACAGAATAAAATTGGTGTAAGCTTGAACATTAAAACATACATTTCATTTAAAATAATTTAGATATATTAAACGGATAGACCAGTCTCACGGATAAATAATAATAATCGGATTATAACAAATTCAGAATTGGATTTAAGAATAGAAGATAGAGTAAGTTGGATATTTTGAGATTTTAAAAAATTAAAAAGAGTTAAACAATTAAAGGATAAAGAGGGGCAGCTAAAGATAATATGGAAAGGTCGCAAATAATCTCTTCAGAATGTTTAGAACAGTAAGAAGAATCTATATAATATTATTTATACATAAAATAAAAAGGTTTCTAGTTGTATTAAACAAAATAAATATAGCATTTTTAGTATATTATATTAAACACAAACAAATAAAAACAAATACATAAACTAGTAACGGTTATTAACGGTTTTATAACAAATAAATAATATTATTTAATAATGTATAGTAATTGCGATTGATTTAAAATTTAAAAGAATAGTAAATTTCAAGAAAAAAACAATGTTTATATCAAATCTTAATTAACAATATAATACTATTATATAAATTAATATGCATGTAAATGGATAGAAATTTCAAATTTATTTATTATTTTACTTAAATAAATCAGGTTAATAAATTAAAAATAACTATTGTCAAAATGGTGTCATTGACATTAAACTTGAAAGAGGAGACAGAAACTTCATCACAGATGACAAAAGCTAGCGAGTAACTTCTGCAGATGATAAAATATATATATATATATATATATATTTGTCTTAACACAAAGCGGTTTATTGTAGGACATATATTATGGTTACAGTAAACTAATTGCAAGCACTTGTAACATAGGTGTGTACTTAATTCTATTCATGGTTACCAATACTGAAAAACGTAACGGTGAATTTAATCTTAAAATATTCCGCTATATAAATTAGTTACCCGGTACTATTTTCAACAATAGTACACAGTTGTCAATTATTTAAGGAAGATTAAATATGAAAAATATAACTTAATAATGATGATAATATATTTAAATAAAATTAGATACAGTGATGATATGGTGATTTTTACAAACAACATTACTGAATTACAATATTTAGCGGATAGAGCCAGCGAGACCCAGGATTTGATCCATAATATAAAGAAAATGAATACTATCAAACGTTAATAGCTTACGATAATATTGAATAATTAAAGCATAGAACCGGTACAAAAATATAGTCACCTTGGAACTGGAAATAACAATTAATTAAGGATGGGATATTAACAATATAATAAACAGATTTGGAAGACAGAATTTAATGGATGATTTTCATAAATTGACAAAAGTATTCAAATATTACGACTGATTTGTAATTTCAAAAGTATGATTTCCAATATGTTACCTGTATTTCTACACGGAGCTGAATCCTGAAAAATATTTACTGAGTTAACAAAAATTAAGCTTTTTAAACGTTCCTTTAAAAGAAAATGTTAAAAACTTCATGAATATATCATATAGACGATCAAAAGGAATATAAAATATGATAAAATAAAAAAAATTATTATTAACTGTATAAGCATGAAAGTTAGAGTGCATGGTGGATGAAGCGTATAATGAGAAAAAATCAATGATACAAACTGATCCGACCTGTGCATTAAAAGTAAAAATTGAAGCAAAAAGAGTGCGGCAAGAAGAATATCTCCTTTAGAAGAGAAATAATCTCCTCTGCTGATATAATAATCAAATTATTTATTTCTAATATCACTCAGTGGAAAACAAATTGCTAGTATGATTTACAGCATTCAAACAAATATAACCTTGAAAAAAAAAATTAAAAATATATTCTGCACTCAGATAAAAATTTCATTCAAATGATAATACACATTTACTATAAAAATACGAATAAATAAAAATACATCGAAGAAAAACATTAAGACAAAGTATACAAATTGTCAATTAATTTTGAACATATTTTTAGAATACGAATAATAAAGTAACTATCGGAATAAGCGGTATACACACGTTTAATTTTAAAAAAGCACACATGTATTTATTCTTGTAAAAGTGTACAAAAAATCTTCGGAATTAAAAAAGTAATAATAATACATTCTACTGAGAAAACAACTTATGATAACTAC